GAAACCCGTTCGGCTGTCCCCCCGGGTCGGGACAAAAAATATGCTATTCCTTGAGAAGGAAAGTTAGTCTATCTAGAATGCCCTTACATTAGTTCCCCTGAAACTCATGTTCTGGTATAAGTCTTTCTCCTTGAGTGTGCCCTGGGCTTACTGACTCAATTCAAACCATGTCTGGCAAAAGTAATGACACGTCACTTCTAAGATAAGATTAAAATTATTATGGAATCTGTTCTAGGTGCTCTTTTTTGCTCTCAATCTCTTTGGGGTTATTTTCTGGAGAAAACTAGCAGCCATGTTTGAGGCACAAAAGTACTAGGAATTTTGGACAAGCACATAAAATTTGGAACACTTCAAGTCATCCTTGGGGCCAGCAGGTGGCACAGCGGTTAAAGGACTGGACTCTCACGTGATCAATTGGCAGTTCTAGTCCTGGACCTGGTGGCTTGAAACTCATGCTGGGCCTGTGTGTATGGACGTCCAGGATCTCGAGAGGAGAATGGAGGAGAAGGGATTGGGGTATGGCCATCCCCCCTGGGGGAGTGATTTTTCACTTTCTGTCTCTATCTCTTTCTGTCTCTCTAGCAATCACATGAGCTCTATGGCAAAAATCTCTCAAAAAAATTTAAGAAATTTTAAAAATTTAAGAAAGTCCTCTATGAGAGGACTTAGAATAGTTCGTTAAAAAAACAAAACAAAACAAAACAAAAAAACAACAACAAAAAAAACTAAGGCATGAGGTTATTTTGGTGAAAAACACTTATAAATTCATGCAGTTTTTCCATAATATGTGTTTTCTGTGAAATTTTTAAAGCTCTTTTCTCTCACCCCTCTCCCCCTGCCTTACTGTTTCCCTTGCCATGTGAATAACTTGAAAAATCTGTCAGAGATCCGAAGGACCAAGACTCCTGAGCATTGTTAACATTCTTGAACTGGCCACGCTCCAGGCCCAGGGGAATTCCTAACCCAATAATTAGTTCTCTAAATGCCTAATTAACACTCTCTAACACTGGAGGCCCAGGGTGTCTCAGAGGGTTGCATAGTGGTCAGTTATCTCTCTGGGTCTCCTGTCCATTGAGAAGTCAGAAAGCAGTCTTCGCCTCCTCCCTTCATGTGGTTCCCTGGCTCGTCCTGAACACAGATGTCAAAGTTTAAGTGTCTCACCCCGCACTCTCATTGAGTATCTCACAGTGGTGCTGACAGAGGAAGGCTTCTGGGTCCCTTCGGACAGAGAGAAAGGAGGGAAGAGCTAACGTTCTTGCACGGGCTTCAAAGCAGGCCTGTGCGATTTGTCTACCCCTTTTTCAAACATGTGCATGCATTTATCCAACTCTCTGCATAATTCTTACAGAGGCCCAAACTTTTCAGTCATTTGCTTTTTCACTCCTAATATTCATCCCTTCTCCATCTAAAAAAAGCTCATTTCCAGGAATATTTTAAGCTTTCTGTATGTCATATGTCCCTCCCTTGGATATGTTGTTCCGTGTCAGTGTTTCATCTCCAAGTGATCTGCAAAGTATTTTTTTTCTTTTTTTTTAGAGTTTTTTTTTGCTATAGGACATGTGTGCTCGCCAGAAAGACAGAGAGAGACAGAGAAACAGAAAGCGAGAAATCACCCCCCAGGGGGATGGCCACGCCTCAATCCCTTCTCTATTCTCCTCTCAGGATCTTGGGCACACACGTACACGTACTTGGCATGAGTTTAAGCCACCCGATCTGGGACTTGAACTGCAGTCAACTACATGGGAGTCCAGCGACATAGCTACTACACCAACTGCTGGACCCAATCTGCAAACATTTTTAAGGCATCAGTTTTGGTTTATAAAAATAACATAGGGGGAACCAGTAGTTGGCGTAATGGCTATATCGCTGGACTCCCATGTAGTCGACCGCAAGTCTCAGAACCAGTGGATTAAACTCACGCCAGGCGTGCATGCATGCATGCCCAAGATCCCGAGAAGAGAATGGAGGAGAAGGGATTGCAGCATGGCCATCCCCCTAGTAGGGGTGATTTCTCACTTTTAAGCTCTCTGTCGCTCTCTGTCTTTCTGATGAGTGCACATGCCCTCTAGCAAAAAAAGCCTCTCAAAAAAATAAAAAGCATAGGGACTAGCAGATGGCATAGTGGTTATGTAGCTGGACTCCCACATGGTCAACTATACTTTAGTCTCAGACCTATTGGCTTAAACTCATGCTGGGCACATGTGCATGTGTGTCCCAAATGCTGAGAGAATGGAAGAGAAGGGATTCAAGTGGGATCACTCCCCTAGGGGGTGATTTCTCATTTTCTCTCTCTCTCTCTCTCTCTCTCCCTCTCTCTCTCCAGGGAATGCATGTGCCTTAGGGCAAAAACCTCCCAATTTTTTTTTTTAATATAAAACTGTATTATTTCTGCTCTTTAGTAATGTAGTTAAATTATAGAGAAAAAAATTAAGGAAACTTTTGTTATGTCAAGATGTATCTCTATATAGCCAATCAGGATATAAAAGCTTTCAATGAAATACAGAAGATAAAAAGGTAAATTGTCTTTTTGCCTATTAAAATCTCAAAAGATAATTGAAGTGTTCATAAATCCTGATGACTAGTGCACTTCACACACTAGAATGTCAAAAAATATAAAGAATATATGGTGCTGTTCCTTAAAAAAAACATTTGAATATTTGTGTATGTGGAGTGCTCCTTAAATAGAGTGACATCTGAGATTTTTATCCTTGGAAAAGTCTTTTATCAATTGTTTGATATAATGCAACAATTATTCATGACATGATGCAGTTGAAATGGATTCACTAGGCAAATAATAGCCTACACTTCTGCTTTTTCATTATAATCCATGACTTTTATATTTACCTTTCAGATGAAAAATTTATTTTCCGATATAGGAGAGGCATAAAGAGCTTTGTTGGATGGCATATCGTATAATGCAGCTTCTGAAAAGAGGAGCAGCTAGCCTCTCACGAAAACCACTGGCCGACCAGCCTCTGTTACCTACAAAGAAATGGTAATGGAGGGGAAGTACAGTAGAGATTGTCTTACCCATAGAGATTGTAGGCAGGGCAGTACTCTTTTAACCTGTTTCTTCCTTTCATGAAAGAGAGAAGAGAGAAAGGCAAGCATCCTCAACAGGGTCTCATGCTGGAATCATATCCCCAAGTGTCCCAGCCAGCCAGGGTCACAGGCACATGGATGCACGCTGTGTTCACACTTTGACCCAGGAACTCAACACAGCTCTTCCAAATGGCTTCCAGCATTGCAGAGTTGTGCAACATCACTGCATCTCTGAGCCTGGACTGGAATGCTTTTATTTATTTATTTATTTATGTATTAATGTATGTATGTATTTACGTATTAAGTGTATTTATTTTATTCATGAGAGAGAGTATTTGCATGAGAGAGAGAGGGAGAGAGAGAGAAAGCACCCTTGACCTGCTGTCTTCCTGCCATAATATTATCTCACCTAACCTACAGTTCCTCAAGAGCTTGGAGACAGCTTGCACAAGCCTGGCATGTTTTCAGGTCAACCCAAGAATCCACACTTGCAATTAGCCATGTGACTTACAACACTACGGCCCAGAGTGCTACTCACTAAGCCACTGAACTGGACCACAATGCCCACTTTCATCATGTACCTCCTTGCTCTCATTCCTTCTTTCAGTAAGCATTTCTTAGATATTCTCTGTATACAGTCTTCATAGAAATCATTATCTCTTTCTTACTTCTCAGCTCCTAAATTTGCACACTTTTCATCACAGTTCCTTATTTTTGCTATCAAATATCTATCAACTCTAGATATTTATGAGAGCACACACTGTCCACTTTGCCCCAAATCAATTAGACATGTGCAAGTATTAGAAAGATGAAAAACAAACCAAATGAATAAACAAAAGGGCAGAATTAGAAAAGGGAATTACTACTGCAGATGGAATAACTGTTGTATTAGAAAAGTACAATATCTCAGTTCGAGATTACAACAATCATTTTTCTATTATCCATTTTTAGTAAAAACTATAAGCTTACTACCATTTTTCTATATTCTACTCTTAAACATTGTTGGATGGCACATTATTCTAGATAATTGGAAATTGTATGATAGAAATCAAATAGGATTGGGACCACCAGGTGGTGTGTTGGTTAAAGTGCTGGATTCCCACATGTCTGACCACATTTTTGGACCCAGCAGCTTAAAATCCACACCAGGCACATGTGCATGTGTGCCCAAATCTTGAAAGGAAAATGTAAGAGAAGGGATTGTGGTGTGACCATCCCTCTTGAGGGATGATTTCTCCCTTTCCTTCTCTCTGTCTCTCTCCAGCAAGTGGATATACCTCATGGGAAAAACCTTTTAAAATAAAATTAATTCCATAGAATTTATATAGGTGCTACATGCTATAAAATACCTTGTTACTGCCTTCATTTATGGCATAAAAATAAGAAGGTGTACTATATATTGAATAAATACAAAAATAAGATAAGATTCCAATGACATTTATACTCTTAAAGTTAATCTCTTCAGAATAAAATCGGAAATTCTGAACTCTTTTTGGTACACTATTATTGCAGTTTCATTTTCCATTTCTCACCATCTATTGCCTATCACACTCATATTAGTTTGCAAATTAGTATGCTGTCTTCAGTCATAAAGGAATATTGGATAGAGGTTGTGCAAAACAGGCAAGAATGAAGATGTGAAGTCAATCTGATGGCAATACTCATGGACCCACCGTGGGAAAGTGTAAGGCCTGCTTTCTTGCAACATCTTATCCTAAGCAGACCTTCTACTTGTTTGATGTTATTCTGATAGTTCACAATGAGCTTTTCCGTAATAGTAAAACCTTGTGTGGACCTACTGGATCCCTTCTAGTTGTCCTCCTGATTGACATCTCCCTCAGGACGTTGATCTAGGAACTACAGCCATGAGTTGCTTTGCTCTCCTGTTTCTGGCATGGGTCCACTAGCAAGAGGAATCAGTAGGAAGTTGGCAGCCAGAAAGCAGGACCAATGATTGGAAGTGGGGCAATTGTTTTCCTAGTTCTCTTCCTATTAGGACATATTTGTGTTTGGCTATTTATTACAGAACCATCTGTAGTTTGTGTCGAGTAATCCCTTCTAGACAATGACTTTATTTGCTCCAATTTGCAGAAGACTTCCTGTAGTTTCTAGTCCCCTGAGTACTATACCTGTTGTAGGTCTGCTCAACCCTCCCCCACAAATAAAAAGGCCCCTATTTAAACTCCACAAAACATCTAATTTCAATGTATTACCTGTTTCTTCCCTGGAAACGAACATAGAGTGAATAAGATGATGGTCATGTGCTTCCAAAAGAAGTTTGATTATAGATTTAAACATTAGAAGAGTACTCAGAATCATTCACTGTTTTTGTCTGTTTGTTTTATTCATGACCAGAATGTATCTACACGTGAAGAAGGAGCGAGAGAGAGAGAAAGAAACACCTTCAACTGGGTCTCATCACACTGATGTTCCCCCCAGATCTAGCTCCTATGGATACCGGACATGTGTGCATTCAGCATGTTTTAGGCCAGCCCAGGACATAAACCATGGTTCCCCATGTGGCTTCCAGCACTGTGGCTTAGTAAGCTGCTGACTGTACCACCAAGGCCAGGCCACTTAGACATTGCATAATTGAGTTTAACACACTTAAACAGTAAATTACATATGTATATATATGTGTGTGTGTGTGTGTGTGTATATATATATATATATCTTTTATCCTTTTAAGGCTACTCAGAGAAATCAATTAACTGTAGAGGTAAAACTAGAGAGAGCTATAGTAATGGATATCCCATTTACCTGTGTATTTCCATGCATCCAGTTGTTGGAAAAGTCATGACCTATTTTTCTATTGTTTTCTATGCAAAAATGTGTCATGACTTTTCAGATGACCCAGTACATATTTCCATACATATGTCTATATGTATTTTTCTGGTTTTCTATGTAAAAATTCATCATGATTTTTCTGATCACCTACATATATTTATATATATGTTAGGTGGTTAGAAAAGTCATGACGTATTTTTCTATGTTTTTTCATGCAAAAATGTGTCATGACTTTCCCGACAACCCGCTATATAGCCTGTGAAGTTCATTTCTATAACTTAATACCAATCAAAAGATTTCTATTTTATTTAGCCTTCCAACTTTTTCACTAGAGGAGCCTTATCTGGAACCCAAAGTTAAGCTATTTCTCTGTCAATATTAGCATAATCCATTACCGTTGCTCTAAGAGCTTGATCTGAGAAAGAATACATTATTTGAGAAAAAAATAAAAACATAGAAGAGAAATTAATTTTTTTTATCTTTCTTGTCTTACAAGTCACCTTCCCAACATTCTTCCTGCACGTCTACAATATCTAGCAAATTGGCAGGAGTAGCTGAGGCAACAATGGCCTTTGAATCCAGCCATTCAGCTTCTTACTTAAACACAATAAATAAATAAGAAAGGGACAACTGCAATTACGTAAAGTCCACGCTATCATCACGAGTAGACAAACATATCCAAATTTCTAATTACTCATGAGTTAAAAGGAACAAGCCAAGAAACAAGCAAATAAAACTAACGTTTCCAAGAATACCAACTGATCGTTGCTAGCTACCTCCATTGGAAAAGGGAGAGAGGGCCAGCAGAAATTCTACCATTGATCCCAAAACATCAGCAGAAAATAGTTCAGAGATCCCAGGGATAGAACTGATGAAGTCAAAGATACATTGGATACAAAGACAGCTCGCCCTCAGGTTGAGGGAATGCCAGAGTTAGCAGGAAAGGAAAGGCATCATCTGGAAGCAGTTAGATGAACTGTAAAAGGAAAAATGTCAAAGTTCAAGATTTTTCAGGCATTTTTTAAATTGTTTTTAATCAGAAAACACACAAAATGCTCACCTACTAGTTCTTTCTCCCTTAAGAAATATTTAGTGGGCCAGCTCCATGGCCTGGTGATTAAGGCAACTGGATTCTACCTGGCCAACCATCCAGTTTGAGTCCCAGATTCAGTGACTTGAGAAACACCAATGGTATGTGTACATGCATGCCCAGATCCCCAAAGGAGGGAGAGAGGAAGAAGAAGGAATTGTAGCATGACCATACCCCGTGAGGGACAGGAGTGCTCTCTCTCTCCACCTCTCTCTTTATCCTTCTGTTTCTTTGACAAGTGCATGCATTGTTTGGAAAAAAACAACCTAGTACAAACAATGTATTTGTTACTGAGACGTAAGTGGGTGCTTGTTGTTTGTTTAAATTGTTAGAGGGTGTGTGCACTTGCCAGAAAAGAGAGAGAGAGAGAGAGAGAGAGAGAAAGCACCCCATGGTTCATGGTCACATCACAATCTTTTCCCCTCCATTTTTCCATTCTCCATCCTGTCAGGATTTGGGGGTCTGCATGCACACACACCTGGTTTGTGTTTTAAACCACCAGGCTAAAAGTGGAACCATGTCTGCCGTGTGAGATCTGACTCTCTAGGTGCAGGGCTGAACAATCGCACCATGAGGCTGGGCCATTCTGGGTGCTTTTGAAGCAGGATTCTTACAAGACCTAACAGAGTACCGATAGATATTACTCACAAAGATGTAGAATATCAGCATTCTTCCCTAAAAACAGACATTATAATTTAAAAAACGAAGCTGTACAATTCAGCTGGTATGAATTTCACCCCCTCAAAAAATTAAAACTGAATAAACAAACAAAAAACTGATGAGGCAGGGGAAACCTGAAACATAATATCAAAATGAATTAAATTTCTTAAACTGAGCACTGGTGGAACTGAAAAATTCAAAATTCAAAATCTAGAATATAATGTTAATAAAAAACAGGAAGAGGTAGAATAAAGTTGATTGAAGAGGGGTCTGCAGGTGGCATGGTGGTGAAGGTGCTGAACTCCCACATGGTTGACCATGGTTCAAGTCCTGGACCTGGTGACTTGCTTTCTCACATCCCTTCCCCCCTTCACTGTATCTCTCTGGTCAAATTAAAAATAATAATTAAAATAAAATAAAATAAAATAAATAATTCCTTTTTGGGTGAGAGGTTTTTGCTATACGACACATGCTCTAGACAGGAAGACAGAAAGCAAGAAATCACCCCCAGGGATGATCCCTTCTCCTCCATTCTCCTCTCAGGATCTTGGGTATGCACACACACGTGCCCGGCATGAGTTTAAGCCACTGGATCCAGGACTCAAACTGCAATCAACTACATGGGAGAGCAACATAGCCATTATGCCAACTACTGGTCCTAAATAAAATAAATATATATATATTTTTAAAAGTTGACTGAAGAAAGAATTGGAAGTATTGACAAAGTTATATAAGGAATAATTATGAAAGCATAAGGTGACTCAGGAAGAATGGATTTGAATAAAGACAAAAAACATAAGGAAAGATTAAACTGATAGATAGACAGAAAAAGAAAGAAAAAAAGGGAAAGGAAGGGGAGAGGAGAAGGGAAAAAAAAACAAGAAAAGGAAAGGGAATAGAAAAAGAAAGTGGAACAAGGAAAAACTAAAAAAGATAAATGAGGTAAGATTTTAATAATATGTTTGTCTGAGTCCAGAGTACATAGCTGTTCTCTGTACCATTTTTGGTTTTTCAACTGTTTAACATTTTGAATATTTTGAAAAATATAAATTTACAGGTGCGCATCACACAGGAGTTACCTTTAGATATGATTTTGAGAGAGGATAAAAGCCTCAGAATAGTTGAACCATAATGCTTTTAAAACTTGATCACTACAGCTACCTTTAACCAGTCAATTTCTCTCCTGTTAACAATTCATATTTTTATATATTTGCAAAATAGTAATCTTTCAGTCAGCATAACAGTTCAAGAATACATAGCCATTGATACTTGCATTCAAAAAAATCATTCTCATTTGTCAATTTGTGCATTTTTCCCATTTGATTGTTAGTTTCAAGTATATTTGAAATACATGTTGCATATGAAAATTGTTTTAAAAATAAAACAGGTTAAAAGTCACAGAAAAAAAGGCAGAATAAAATAGGAAAATTCAAATAATATAAAGAAATTCAGGTTGAATATTCTTTACAAGAAATACTTGGAATGAGAAGTGTTTTGGACTTGAGATTTTTTTTTTTTTTGATCTTAGAATATTTGTATATATATAATACTGTATCTTGGGAATGGGACTAGGTCTGAATACAAATGTCATTTTTGTTTCATATACACCTTATACATATGATTTTAATAATGATTAATTTTAGTATTTTTGTGCATAAAACACAGTTAGTGTACATTGAACCATAAGAAGCAAAGGTGTCACTGTCTCAGCCACCTCATCTGTAGTTGTTTGGCATTCCCATCATTCCTGACTCTGGATATATTTGCTACTGATAAGCAATAGTTTTCTTACACTTATCCACTCATGAATACTTATAAATAAAAACCCTGAACTATCATTAATACTGTGAAAAAGTAAGTACAGCGTATTTTATTCTTTCTAGGTGAGAGGAAACAGGAGAAGCAGTCAAGTGATGAAGAAGTGGATTCTTTAGGGAGGAGAAGGTAGGCTGCTGGGGAGGCTTTTTAAACTGTTTCCTCCCAAGTCCTTTACCTCATTAAGAACTGTTTTGTGTTGGAAATCTCTCTGTGGTTTTATACCCAGATGTGATTCCTTGCTCTTTGATGAATGCATGCTGCTCAAGTCTGTCAACAAGCCCATCCCCGGTGGGCGCTTTCTTTGTAAAGTTAATGACCTTGTCAGGATGATCATAATCAGTTTGATTCGGAACCCTTTCCACTATTGTGCCATAGGTTACCACATGTCCCAAGTCCTTTACCTCATTAAGAACTGTTTTGTGTTGGAAATCTCTCTGTGGTTTTATACCCAGATGTGATTCCTTGCTCTTTGATGAATGCATGCTGCTCAAGTCTGTCAACAAGCCCATCCCGGTGGGCGCTTTCTTTGTAAAGTTAATGACCTTGTCAGGATGATCATAATCAGTTTGATTCGGAACCCTTTCCACTATTGTGCCATAGGTTACCACATGGGCAACTGAATTCTCATGGCCAATGTCAAAAACTTCAAGGTCCAGGGGACCAGTAGTTACTGTAATGGCTATGTCGCTGGACTCCCATGTAGTCGACCGCGGTTCGCATCCTGGACGTGGTGGCTTGAAACTCACACCGGGCACGTGTGCGTGCGTGGCCAAGATCCCGAGAGGAGAATGGAGGAGAAGAGATTGCTGCGTGGCCACCCCCCTGGG